ATGTTGTTCCCAATGTCAACTCTTTGAACAACTGTTCTCACCAAAAGGCTAAAATCTTAAACAAGCTTGTTTTTTTCTGGACACATTTTTTTGGGGCGGGAGCCACTGAAATCAAACATGTTTTAATTAACTCACCATTGATAAATGTCTTTCCTTGCTTGGATAACACATCAGCTACTTGGAAGCTTACTTTTGTTGCAGCCTTATTTTCATTTTTAATTATTGTGAAGAGATTCTTCTGTGATAATTCTGTTCTAAATTTTCTAATTTTTCTCACCTTTGCTTTCATGAGAGTTGGAAATATTGTAATGAATGCTTAGTCTGGTAATGCTGATGCTTATTGTATTCTTTTAGCACAGTGTCATTGTATAGTAAAAGCCATATTTTGCCATTTAATTTGATAACAAAATAATCTGCACTCCATTTTGCTTTAAAAGTGGGACATTCAAAGTTCACCTCTTGTTTCGATATGATAAATATAATTTTTTAAATGTCACGATATAATGATACTGTAGCACCCCAAACATTGGTGTAATGATGTCACCGATTTGTAGTGTGCTGAGCAGCAGGGCAAAGACATGACAGCGCCATGTATGGTCTCTGTTGCAACTACTCCACTCTGCTGTTGTAGTGCAGAAGCAGAAATAGACAATAGACAATACATAAGCACATGAGCATGGCTTTGTCTCAATAAAACTTTAAGGACACTGAAATTTGAATTTCATATTATTTTTATAGGTCATGAAACATTATTCTTTTGATTTTTTCCAACCAGTTAAAAATATAAAAAACATTCTTAGCTCATAGGCTATACAAAAACAGACTTTATTGCTGATCCCTACCAGTGTGACATATATATGGAGTTGGGACCAAATACATTGTTGGTTATCCATGATTTCAGATAATATTCTTAAGATTTTCTGACCCACTGTTCTACAGCCAAGGTTTGGGTAGATGAAGACCCATCTATGCTTAAAGAGATTTTGTCTGAGAAAACTACTGTAATCTCATTTTTAACTTCAAGAAGAACAGAGAAAAATGACTTGGTTTTGTATAAATTACTCTTTCTACAATTAGCAATTAAGGAAGCTTCCTTTTTAAAATTTTATGCTTCAGGAAGCATTTGGAGAAACCTATAGTATTAGGTGGCTGTGATCATTTATTTTTGTAAGTTTCTGAAATTAGGTGGTTATAAACTTAATTATCTTGCAATTAATTTGACTATAATATGACACGTATTTCTGAATATTCAGCAACAGCTGGCATTCCAACTGGAGTTGGAAATGCAAGAAAAAGAGAGACAGAGAATAGAAGAACTACAGAGAGCTCAAGAACAATTAGAGAAGGTAATTTGAAGTTTTATAAATGTCTATTTTATTTAAAACTTAGAATCCTCAACCTGTTTCTTCCAGCTGTTATAACAGAAAGATCACGGACTTCATAATATAAAGACCTGTCTCACATTAGCTGTGTACCTTAAGCAGATTCTTCGTAATCTTTTTCATTCTTGGTTTACCTGTTTCAAAAATAGGGATAGCAGGATAATGTTATTAACTATATCTCATTGCTGTGATGATGTCATGATGTGAAACTTCTTTGTTAGCAGTAGAGTTCTCTAATAGTGATACCCTCAACATTTTAGTCAAAAGTTAGCTGTTCCTAATTATGGTAGCTGGTGTTGAAGTTTAAGTTCTTTGTAATACTGAAGATATTCTGATCTCTGAGACAATAGTACATCTCTTCATGTTAGATGTATTAACAATAATTTACATTTTAAAGTATGTTTTTAGATGGCTTTTTCATGCCTTTCATTAAAATAAACTATGCAGTAACTTATTTCTACAAAGTCCATCTTCATCGATCGTGTCTGTATAATGTCAAGGCTCTAGTTTGACCAGTATTCCCTGGTATCCAAAAAGTATATGTCATATAGACCAAACATCTGGTTGACTGAGTTTATAGCCACTATCTCTTACTCAAATGTTGCTTCCATTATTTATTTCATTAAATTGAAAAAAGAAAATTAAAATTAAAAACAAGCAGGTTTTATAGAATATGTTCAATGTGTTTATTAATGCTTAGATGACAGCATCATTATTTAAAGCAATTTAAAAAAGTGTGAAGGGTGAATTAAATTTAACAAAAAGATTTTCAAGGATAAATTGAAAGCCCTGTACGTAGTTTTGAAAAGTACAGATGCTGATGTTTTCTTAGTCTGAGTGTAGTAGGAGCATATGGATATGCACATATGAACACACACATTTAAGAATCCTCTTTCTCTTTCATTAAGATTCACAAAGAAATGATAAATGTTTAAGGTGCTGGATATCTCAGTTACCCTGACTTGATATACGTAGTATGCTTGTATCAAAATATCACATGCACCCCATAAATATGCACAACTATGTATTCATAAAAATTAAAACAATTCAGTGATCTAAGTTGAAAAAAGGAGAGGAAAAACAGGGACATATCAAGAAGACAATGATCGAAATAAGGGAATTTAAAGTATTTTTTTTTAGATGACCTGATAGCTGTATTTGAATGCTTAGAAGTCTGTAGGAAGGGTCAGTCTCTGCTTTGCGGCTCCAGGGTGTTGCATTCATGTTATTTCATTATCTCCAGGCATCATCAGCCTGTATGACCAGAGTCACAGACTTGAATGATTCCACATTCCTACTGGCTTATCATCCCCCCCCCCTCCCCCAAGTGCCCCTGCTTCACCCATTGCTCAGAGATTAGTCTGTGCATGTCTTTTGCCTTGGCCTTCTTGTGGCTGCCGACACACAACTTAAACTATCACTTGCAAAAGGAAACTCACTTGAAGGATCCTGATTTGAAGAAAGGGTTTAACACGTACGCTGTGAAGGACTCTGGTACAATTGGGCCTTCCAGACCTTTGCGAGCAAGAGAATCAGATGCTACCAGGCTCTCGCCTCTGCTGCCCTCTGATGGTCAGTCTCAGTCTCTCTCACTGTGGCCGGGCTCGCTGCACACGGTGAGAAACGTGGTCTTTGCATGGCTCCTGAGTCTCGCGGTGCTGTGGCTCCTACCATCTAAGAGGCATGGATTCTATTTTTCTGGCTTCAGTTAAGAAAAGAATCTTAGGGAAGGTATTCTGACCGGTTTAGTTTGTGTGAAATATCCATCCCTGTGGCTGGAGGACGTGATCCTATACGCACATGGATGTTCCCACTATAGCTTTGTGGATACGGGGATAAGAAGTTACCAGGTGATCCTTTTGTAGTTCCAAAGCGTGGATAGGTTTTTCACGCTCATGCGTGAGATGCGCCTCCCTCAAACCCTATTACAACTTACGGCACATTACCCCTCTGACGTGAAATAAAAAAAAAAAAAAAGAAGAAGAAGAAGGTACCAGAATAATGGACTGGTCTTGGGAAAATAGTACCATACGTGTCCCTGTAATTAGGGTGACCATATGTATGATCACGAGATCACTAATCTTCCAACAGCCAGACAAATCAGCTCAGATCAGTTAGGTCACCCTGCTGCCTTGGAGTGAAAAGATGGGTGCCACGGCGAGGTTTGGCTTGGCAAGGGGAACATCTTCACATTCAGAAAGAGGCCTGCCCTGCTGGGCAGGACTTCCTTACCGCAGTGTTGAGAGTATCATAGAGGGCAGCGCTCAGGTACCATGGAGAGGATTTGCACATTCGGTAGTGACTTGGGCCGGATTAGTACCTTCTGAAATACTTCTTTCTTACCATGTGCAAAACTCAACTGCAAGTTCTCTTTAAAATCTCTTCTTCTAAGAATCTATTAGAATGTTTATTTTGTCGCTTTTCACATTTGCTAATTATTTGGCTTCAGTTTAAATGTTTCAGTCCATTTCATTTTTTAAAAGTTTTATAAGTTTTACATATAAAACATGTTGTTTTCTATTAGTATGGAGTATTAAATGAGGCCGTGATCTGCAGTTTTGTGATAAGTGTATTCGTATCACTCCTCACAGAGTGATAGCATTTTTGCTTTAAATTGATCATAGCATTATGTAAAAATAGAAATGCTTGAAAATTAAACATGGAATCAAAAGGAAGTATATTCTAAATATTT